CATCAAGAAGGTCTACAGCATCTGCTGCTACACCAATGCTCAATCCGAAGTTTACGGAACCGACATCATCCCGATGGTATGCCACAACGGCAACATTGATCTCGAGAAGACCGTCCAGAATGTCGAACAGGTTTGCAAATACTTCCGCATGGATCCATCCAAGGCGAAACAGATCACAGATCTCATCCTCTGGCGAATTGAGAGAATGAGCAGATCATTTTCCGGATGTCTTCGACATGATCCAAGGCATGGAATCCATAAGGAATGCAGACGACAAGTGGACATGGGTCTTGATGGATCCGTCGAGCTCTATGACGCATTGACCTGCATAACACATGCCAGGAACTTAATTGGAAGTAAGCCAGGACTTCTCTTGATGGCTATGTTCCCGAGCTATGGAAAATCACGTTTCGAAATTGCATTCGTATTTCCATCCGTGGACGGGTCATATAATGAGCGCAAGGCACGGGGAGAAATTGTTCCAAGGAATCGATGGATCGACAAGCTCACCACAAGATCCGCACAAAATGCACTCAGGCCCGATGGCAAGGAATTCTATGTTGATCCAGAGATGGAGTTCTATGTGAGATGCAATAGCGGACACACACGACAAGTCGAGATCCAATCCTTTGGACGACCCCTGGACTCTGAGCAGCAGAAAGAGCCTCAACACGACGAACCGGACTATGATCTCAACGGAATCCATTCCACCAAGTCCGCATCCGTCAAGATCCGAGGCGCCTCATGAAGATGAAAGCACAGCTCAGCCCAAGCATAGAATGCGAAGGCCGGCACCACCATCCATTGAAGAAGAGAGAAAAATCAAGCCGTTAAGCCCATCACATTCATGTTCCATGCAACCTATGGAAATCAGCTCTTCAGCATCATGGAGCACGGGCTCAAATCTGGGAAATCCCAGTCAAACCCTTCGGGGAGAATGCACGTCCACATGGCATGCATCGATGACGTCATCCTTGACGACGATGAGTCAGAAGCCGCATTGACCCATGTGCCAGCAGGAAGAGATGCACTGTTGATCCTTGCATTCCTCAAGGACCAAGACTATGGCATCCGACTCTCCGAAGAGCGAACAGCGTTGACAGACAAAACCATCGAGGCAAGAAACATTGTTGCAGCATTTGAACCTGATGGCAGCCTCATGGCGAGCAACAAGTGGATCATGAAGAAGCATCTCAGTTATGAAGATTACGAGATGTACGACACCAAGATCCGCGAATTTGCCGATGCCTTCTTCAACCACAAGGCGCAGCAAGGAAAAAGATACTTCCTCAGAGACCAAGAAGAGACGGCATTCCACCGATCAGGACGAAGCTGAAGAAGAGACCACGGAACCCTCCGGGGAAAGATCCGTCAAGCCAAAGGTCGCCGTGGAATATCATAATTCAGTGAACCTAGACGAGTTCATCCAAGAACTCAAGGGAATCTATCTCGAAACAGATTTGAACAAAAAGGACGCAGAGGAAGAGCTCGCGGAGACCAAGGCAAACCTCCTCCGCTTCATGAAAGAGTACAACAAAGATCCAAGAAGAGCTCATGAGTGCGAGAGAGCCTCATTGGCACATGTCAATCCCGATGTCAATCTCGGAGAAGAAGAATTCTACTTCCCTCATCGAGGAGAATGTCCCACCATGGACGAGCACAAGCAAGCTCAACCAGGATCCGGATATCCGATTAAGCTTCCACTTGGATTGAAGAAGCTTAGGCCACATGATGACCCGGACATCATCCGAGCCTATGCCGATATCCTGGGATCGCTGATGCAACCGACCGACCGTCCTCCTGTGGACTATCTCAAGATGCATGAGTTCACCTCATCCATAGCGATCAACATGCTTACCCTGAACCATGGAAACCTCACGAGGAATCCAAAGCTGGACAACAGGGAGGTGTACAACATGCCGATGAAGGATCGACCGATCGTGAAGATGATGATGCAGAACAGTGCACACATCTTATGCCTGAATGAAGCAGACGCATTCTTCAGTCCTAATGATGAGAAATCCAGGGAGCTCATCAAGACGTTCATCCGATTCGGGTACAAGGGCATCGTGATCAAGCAATGGTCATCCAGACCGATCGCATGCTTTGTCCGTGGCGGACCTTTGCAAGAGTGGAACTTCTGGCAAGACACATTTCCACCAAGAGCCAGAATTGGGGAACCACATTCGGAATGTTCAGATGTTTCTTCGGAACCGAAGGAAGTTGCACTGATCCCGAATACGAAATTCCGACCTCGGATTGCTTGGCAACCACAGGACCATCCATGTTTACTGAATCCAAGAAGTACATTGGACCGAGATTGCCAGCACGCACCATTGTCCAAGGACATGGCCGAGACAAGGAGATCGTCGTTCTCCATATCGAGCAGAGTGATGAGTTTCGTGGCATGATCCCGAAATCATCCAACAAGTCACTCCACGAGTATGACGACCGCCACATAACGAGGGCAGATCTCCCATTCGCTACCATTGGAGTTTTCCACATTCATCCTTCAATCAGCCATGGAGCAGCACGGGAAGATCTTCAGAATGAAATCATGCCGCTCGTGACTTTGTACCGATGCGATGCGATCACCGGAGACGCCAACAAATCAGCGAACACCTACAGCAAACTCCAGCACGTCTTCAATCCGGCCAACGGTCTCGTGAACATCCTCATGAGAGCATATCAGAGACTGTGGAATGAAACGAAAGATTTGCCACTCGTGGACAGAATGGAGTATGCAATGGAGACTTCGTGCACCCTAAAATCCATTGTCCGTCATCACCTGTACATGAAGTGTGGATCAGGATATGATCGAACATTCCTAGATGTGATGATGACTTTCGTATTTGGATGGGGCAAAACGAACATCCAGCAGGCTTTCCGGAAGGACGAGATGAACGGCATGGATGATGAACAACTGGAACTCATGCGGAACTATCCAACCAAGGCCATATTCGATTACCAGGTCTCATCCGCAGAGCGCTTTAAGCACGTGAACAATGACATGTTCATGAATGGCTCGCAGGACTCCGACTCTCACAGTCCCCTCATGGTTTACATCCGCAGCAAATCTGCAACCAGGCAATGCAACTCTGAGAGATACCAGGAGTACATCAAGAAGAAACAAGCCTGGACCCCGCAGGAGTACAAGGACTACAACAAGCAGTGGGGACATCAGAAGCAGTGGAAGGACTATAGCACCTCGACCTGGAATGATTATGGAGACTATGGCAGTCAATCCGACAGCAGCCGCCGATGGTATCGTCGATCCGACTGACCATGAAGACTCATACGTTCAGCACCACGAACTCAATTCAGATGATTGATCCTCGCCGTCTACAAGACTATACAATGAGTGAGAGATCAATAGTTTCACAATCGTTCCGCGTGTACATAGCGTTGTACATCACCCTTTGATACATCTAGGTATCTCAAAAAGAAGCAGCACATAGTGTTTTCCATTTCGAAAGCCAAGACATTTCATTCGAGCAGAAAAGAGGATGAATCCGGCATTTTTAATACACATGGCTACGGCATACAGCATGGCTACGGCATACATCAAGGCTACGGCCAAAGGCCATGAAGCCAATAGTATTTCATACTTAGTGCTGGAGATCAAAAGAAATTTGTGTCTGTTTTGTGATTGGTTTACTGAACACTTGATCTCCTGCAACATTTGGCTCAAGGCCCCTTTTGTGTAACATTGCATCATTCATGATCGCGTGAAGCAAAAGAACCTTAGCAGGCCACTTACAGGATTATCCACAAGACAATCCACCAGGGACAATCCATCCTCCAATCATTCACAGTGGCATATTGGATTCTCTCCGGAATAGATCCAGGGACCAAATCAACGACCTCTACTACCACAGGGTACCAGTTCCCTTCTGGGATAGGCACCTGGGGCAGTGGGCCTCAGGGGGGGGGGGGCGTACCCTCAATAAAGAGGCCTTCCCGCACATTTGTTTTTGCCAGCGCAAGGGAAAGTTGGAAGGCGGGGATGGCACCCGTGCTTTCATGAACCTCCGGCAACGAATGTTTCCGATCGACTTTGCATTTTCCCCAGACGCGGCAGGGGCGGCAGCTTTCCACGAGCATCGCGGTGGGGGTCAAGATCTGCTGTGCTCAGCCGACTCCTTAGAAAAGGGACGCAGGCACAAGGCGTCAGGCCCAAAAGGAAATGGTTAGAGACAGGCCAAGGCCGAACGAAAGGAAGGAGTAAGTTGTTGGTGCTCACTTCTCAGTTGCACATCCGTCATGCTTTACCGAAAGGATTGGTCCTAGGTCCTAGAGAGTCGACTCACAGGCCATGTCAAAGGGAAATGATAGCTGAGAGGGTAGCATATTATCAATTTGTCACAATGCTATTGATAATTGTATTCCATTCGTTGTTCATTATGTTTTTTGTATTTTGCGCTGACGAGAGGAAGTGGAGAGGCCAAAAGCCAGGTCTCAGCCAATCACTTGTTGCTTATGCGTTGGCTTATTCGCCAACTTATGCACACAAACAACATACATGCATCCTCTTCAGAGTTGGTTGCACAGGTCGCTGTCTTTATGGCAGGTGGCTTGCCAGGAGCTCCACCTGCTCCTTCGCCTGGACCGACAAGCTACAAGCCCAACCACGCAGCGCTTAGTACGCTGCGTTGAAGCCTGAGGGTGGAATGAAAATGACGAACACACGTGTCTATTTGTAGCTTGTGTGACATAGGCCGCATTTGTGTGGCTGATGTTTCTCACACCTGAGCGGCCTCGAAAGTGGAATGCCAACCGCTAATGCCAGCACAGTGCTGCCAGCTCAAAGCTGTGTGACTTGCAGATGTTCAGTCGCTCGCTGTGGGAACAAAAAGGCGCGTTGTCTTGTGGCTGTCCAGCTGGCCCAGCAAGGGTGCGTTGATCATGTTGTGGTAGCGTGCCGTTCTCAGTGCAAGTTTTTTTCTGGGAGGCATCTTGGCACTAAGCTCTGAGGGTGGGCATTTGTAGCGGCTTCAACCATGACGAGCCGAGGGTCAGCAGGACCATTGCCATTTCAGCAGCGTGGCCGTCACAAAGCTACCAGTCTGCAAAGCGGCCCCTCCACTCCCACTAGCAACCTGGCAAATGAGTTGTGGGATGTTGTGCGCGCGCCATAGCCCTAGAGGACAGCTATGTCTCCCGGTTTTGCCGTCAGGCAACAAGGTACCAGGAAACAAGGTACGCGCATCATGCAGAAATGATGTATATGCACATGGTCCGTACCTGTGATGCTTGCGTGCATCAAAACTGTCATAAATGATCATACCTGGGTCTTCCATTCTGTGCGAAATCATTGCAGTTTTGGTAAAAACTATGCTTCTCAACCAAGCGGCGATTATTTTCGCCTGCGGGCATTTTTGAATGGTTGCACACTTTGGCGTAAATCAAAAACCTGAAACGGCGATTGTTGCCGCCAAAACAGCGTAATTTGCCGGCAAATCGGCGTCGTTGTTTGCCTGGCACGAGCTGGAATCACGGCGAGCGTTTGTTTTGTTTTTGTTTGGCGTTCTTTCTAGAAAGCGGCGATAAAATATAGCTGTTTCGGGAAACGGCGTTAATTTTATTTTACATGCTGGAAGTTCCAGGTACATAGATACATGCGTATGACCTATGATTGCTTGCTCGGTTTGGTTTGGTCTTGATGGTTTCCTTTCTGTTGTTGTTCCCTTCTTTCGTTCTTTTTTCCTTCCTTCCTTTGTTTGTTGGTTTGTTTGTTGGGTTCGGCTTGGCTTGTGTGTTGCGGTGCGTATGTGTGTGTGTGTGTGTGTGCGTGGGTGGGCGGGATGAGCCTTTGAATCGTAAGGCAGTCTCCACACTACGATTCGATCCGGCTCGCCTCACTCCCCTACAGCATCATCGAACACATCGAGAGATGATGGGGCTGAGGAACACTATGTGGAAGGCGTTCAACTGCAAGAGGCCAAAACACCAAAGATACTGTGGGCTGCGACTCCAACACCAAAGGCATCGCAAGCAACTTACAGCTTTGCTTTGCCTCCTCAGCCCAAGCTGAATGCAGAGGCAAAAGCATTTGTGCCGGACACGCCGCAAGCGCCCGTGACTGCCAAAATCGAGGAGCCCAGCTCGGAGTTGCATGCCGAGGCTCAGGCTGTGATGATGGCAGAGTCAGTCTTGGGACTGGATGCAGAGCCAACTTCAGTGGCGTCAGTGCCAACTGTGAGCCCCAAGGGCCCAGAGAAAGAAGTGCTTTTGCCTTCAAAGGGGTCGACGCTGCACCAGCAGGGGCAGTGTCGCCCATGTGCATGGATGTGGAAACCAAAAGGGTGCCAAAATGCGACAAGCTGCGAGTACTGCCACCTGTGTCCAGAAGGAGAACTGAAGCATCGAAAGAAGCTGAAAATAGCTGCAATTCGGATGGGTGCCTTGGGGCCATCCACAGACAAGGCCGGCAAGGCCGCTCGCAGAGACTTGAAATTGTCAAGCTTGCTGTGATGCTGCAAGTGCCCATGCGATGGAATTACCCACGCACGTCCAGCAAAGCGTGCAAGTATCAAGTTGAATCAAGTGTCCGTCTTTGTGTGAACGTGTTTTTCCTGTTGCAAAAGGAGAAACACAACTGTCATTCTAGAAGCCAATGTTGGCGCTCTTGAAGCCAAAGCTGGACATATTAGCGTGTGGCTTGGGTGACGAGGCAGCAGAATGCACAGTTTTGCGTAATGTCACTTCCACAAATCCGGCAACGCTGCGCAGAAGTCGTAGCGACACAAGCAGGATTGTCCTGCGCGAAAACGTGCTGCGTGTCACTATGTGGAGTTATTGGGCAAACCAGGGATTTGTGTTTGAGGCTCAGTGAATGTGTGTGCACTTGCTACCAGGGCGCAAGGCTTCCGAGACTCAACGCCCCATCCTTTGGCTTACACAGGCGCAGCTACATGATGGATCAGCACAATTGAAATCCTACAACAGAAGTCCAGCCTTTTGCTTTGCAACTCAGAAGTGGCCAACTGATGATGATGAGGCCTCGTGGCATCACTACACACTTTCTGGCTACTTGAGATGGCTTGCAATGCCTAAGAACCCATGACAAACATGGGGGAGCGGCTGGCAGAATCTCGGCTTGTAGAGGAGAGCAAAAAAGGCTGCGTGCATTCTGATTTCATTCATGCTTGTGTGCAGGATACAGTCCCGCCTGGCCATCAAAGCGTATGGGGATCTTGGCACGCGGGCAGCAGTGTAGAAAAAACCTCCTGTTGTGTTGCTCCTGCTTTGCATGCTGGCACTTCAGCATGGTTTCTTCATGGGTTGCAAAATGCCAGTTTGAGCAGCTCGGTTGGGTGGACTGCTTTCACACCTTCGCGTCGCGGGGGCGATACGCTGTGCAGAGCAGCCAGCGGAAGGCAACGTTGACACTTCCGGCAAACGGTGGCAGCTTTCGGTGTCACCTCACAAGTCTCCAAGGTATGATGTGGGCACCAATTCCTGGGGCTTTGCGCACGCCTGAGCTGTCATATGCCGTAATACTGACCATTGTTCTCCACTCAAGGTTTGAAAAAGGCGATGCTTGTTCCTTCAGGCATGCTGCAAGACTACCAGCCCAAAGGCCCCGCCCTGTTGTCGCATTGAGCGCCTCAGCTTGCGTGCAGCAGGGGCGGGGGGGGCAATCGTGTGACAGATGAGCTAGCAAAGGTCAGACGCTGAGGCGGGCAGTGACGCATTTGTTTTGCTTCAACAGCTTTGGGGCAGCTGCTCGTTGCGCGCCTGCCTTGAAGGCCTGACTGAGGGAGAGGCTTCGGTAGGAAAGGACGTCCAGCGTAGCAAGCAAACAGTTATTTTCGGGTTGCGCAAGCCCCGCGCTTGGACTTGATGTGCAGAATCGCTTGTTACGTGCCCTTTGCCAAGCCTGTATCATTCCCGTACCCTGGCCATTGCATGAAAAAACCCGCAGCGCTGGTAACACACGTGATTTGCACTTTTCACATGTTATGTTGCGGTCAGGCTGGAGGATCGAGGCCCAGCCGCGGGTCAGATGTCGAGGCGGCTGCGGTTCTGCGTAGTCCACACATAGGTCTGAATCACTAAGTCTGCCAGCTCGTCAGCAGAGGATTCACTCGACTGCTGACAAGTTGTTGAGAACCCTGTTGTTGAGGTCCACATGGAAAGCTACACGGCGTGGCGCTCTCGCCAGGACTTTGAGACATCAGAAGGCAGCGAAAGCAAACCAAAGGAGAGAGTAGAGAGACAGACAGAGACAGACAGAGAGAGAGGGAGGGAGAGGGCACAGAGGCGAGCGAGGAGGACGGGAGGGCAAGGGAAGCGAGCGGAGGGAAGGGAGGGAGGAGCGAGGGGTGAGCGAGGGGTGAGCGAATCGTTGACTGAGTCGTTGAGTGAGTCGTTGAGTGAGTCGTTGAGTGTGTCGTTGAGTGCGTGCGTGCGTGCGTGAGTGAGTGAGTGAGTGAGTGAGTGAGTAAGTGAGTGAGTCAGTGAGTCAGTGAGTCAGTGAGTCAGTGAGTCAGTGAGTCAGTGAGTCAGTGAGTCAGTGAGTCAGTGAGT